CCTACACAGGGACACACATCTGCCTCCTTTAGTGAGCTCTTGGAGGAGCAGGTCTTGTGCATCTATGTATTTCTGACTTAAGTAGTTAAGTCTCACCTTCACCAAGTACTTACACCAGGTAATATGGAGAGGAAGAGCAGAAACAGGTGAGATATGATGCCAAGGCCTGACAGACTGGTGGTAAAAAACTAATAGGTCTACTGTGAGATGATCTCTGATTATTGTTATCAAGTTATAAAATGTTTTAAGCATGACTGTTGGTTATGAGTGACAGACATCCAAGTCACATTAGCTTGTGCAAAAATAAGAGGGAATTATTTTAGCTCATATCACTGTAAAGTGTAGATAACGTTGGCTTCTGGTGTGGTTGGATCTAGAGGTTCAAATGATGTCTCTGGGACTTGATTCTGTATTCTTTCACTCAACACTTTCATCTGTGGCTGCTGCAGTTAGATGCCACTGACTGTTACTCCATGGAGCCTTAGTAAACCCCATTCTTGCTTTCCAAATCATGGCCGAGGCACACCTCCAGGATGCAGAAATAGGTCATCCCATGAAACTGAACTCCCCTGGGGTGCATCTCCAACCTCAACCCAGAGGCTTCCTTTTCTTACCTAAACCCCCAGAACACTGGGCAGACATTTTAAAGGGAGTGCTGAGGCTTGTGTGCAACCTTGGGAACCTCTGGAACCTGGGTGTAGGGCCCAGTGGGGAAGAAGCAGTCCTGTCTCAGGATCTACCTGCCAGTCACAAGCAGCTCCTCAGATGCTGCTCTGCCACTTAGCGGCAGTATGCCCTCAGGTAAATAGCCTGACCTCTCTAAGCCTCAGTTTCCTCATCTGTGAAGAGAAAATGATGATTATCCCCCAGGACTGTCTTGGCAGTTAGACAAAATGTAAGCATTTGATACAGGAAGTAAACCTCAAACATTGGCCACAGTCACTGTTCTGCTTTTTCATGCTACAAATGATAGAAATTATATTGGGAGGACTTTGGCTTGAAAATGAGAATACCAGCACTAGGAGCTGCCATGTGGCACACACTTACTCTGATTCTCACAACAGCTCCTTTCAGATGAGGAAAGCAAGACTGAGAGGTTAAGTTGTTCACTGGGGACTCACAGCTCCTCAGTGACAGTTGACACTGGTTCAGGCTTGTCTGATGCTTAAGCTATGGCCACTGCTCTGTGTGGCTTCTCTCGAATGATGTGGAGCCTGAGAAAATAAAAGGGCCTTAGTTGATACTTCTAAGGATATTTGCCTCAAATCACTGCTGGGAGGAAAAAAAAAAAGGAGGAATGTGACATTACAAAATGACATGGAAAGTCTTACACCAAAATATTCAAGGTTTTTCTCTGAGTAGTGAGATTATGAACAATATTTCTTCTTGTTCTGTATGGTTCAAGTTTTCTAGTCTTGAGTGAGTGCTTTTTACTCTAGGGAAGGGAGAAAGAGGTTATAAAATTCTACCCTGAAAAGGCCGGGGGTTTAGCTCAGTGGTTTCGCCACCTGCTGCACAAGTGCAAGGACCCCAGTTCGATACTCACTACAAAAAAAAAAAAAAAAAAATTCTACCCTGAAATAATAGGCCCAGTTTTAAGCTAACGTAAACCAGTTTGAACAAGTCATAAAACTAATAATCATGTCTTAAGCAATTTTACCCAAATTACATCATTTCTGCAAACTTCAATTGAAGTTTCTTTATTTGGAGCCAACCAAGCTGACACCAGGCACCAAGCTGACACTTGCCAGGCCTAGTCTAGTGTATGGCTTGAGGTGTGGTAAATAGGACTATGAATTTGGAGACCTGGGTTCTGTTCCTGGCTCCAGCACTTACCCATTGAGAAACATTGGGCTGATTAATCTCTCTCAGCCTTGGTTTCCTCTTTTGTCAAATGGGCTTCATAAAACAATGTACCCTTCCTACCTCATTAAGTAACCATAAAAATCAATCATATTAGGGCTGGGGATTTAGCTCAGTGGTGCCACCACCTGCCTCAAAAGCGTGAGGTCCTGAGTTCCATCCTCAGTACAAAAAAAAGATCAAACATATTAATAGGTGTGAAAAATGATAATCCCAATCTAAGTGTAAGGAAATCCCACCGGCACCCAGGGGTCTAGAGAGTATACCTAGGAGGGTAGCAAGGCATATGGGCCCCAAAACAATGCCATGGGATCTCTTCCCTTGTTTCTGGGGAAACCATGGGGACCTATAAATCACACACACACACACACACACACTCTGCTCAGGCCTGCCACCTCTAGGGAGTCTGGTTGGCAGTTGCCTTTTAAGCTTTTCAATGATTACTTTAGTGTTTACAGTGGTGTCTTTAATTTCACATGGTGAGTCTTCCTATAGCGTTCTTTCCTCTTATTCTTTGTGCTGTTATATAAATTTTACACATTATATATGTAATATGTTTTTAGCCCTCTTCTTCTTGCCTCTATTGGAATAGTTTTTATTGCTATGTCTTCAAGTTCACCAGTCTTCTTTGTTTCTAATCAAATCACATTCAGGGGAATTTTTATTTCAGCTACTACATATCATCTCTTTCTATATATTCCATTTGTCTCCTAATTACATTCATGATACCCTTTAATTTCCTGAAAATATTTAAAATAGATGTTTTTGTTTCAGTTTTTTGAAACATGATCTCACTACATGGTCCAGGTTGGCCTTGAACTCTTTATGTAGTCCAGACTGGCCTTGAACTTGTGATCCTCCTGCTGGGATTACAGGTGTGTGCCACCACACCTGGCTAAAATAGGTGTTTTGACAGCCTTATTTGTTAATTCCCTCATCTTTGTCATGTTTATGTCTTCTTCTGTTGTCTAATTTTTCTCCTACATAGGGGTAACTTTCCTGTTCCTTTGCATATTCAGAAATTTTTTATTAGATGGTGATATTTGAGTATCATAATATTGACTGTCTGGGTTTTGTCACATTCATTTAAAGAGTGTTGACTTTATCCTATCAGCTAGTTAAGTTACTTGCAGATCAGCTTGATTTTTTTTTTCCAAGCTTGTTTTTCAGCACTGTTAGGGCAGGCCTTAAGGGCTAATTTGGAGCCTTAGGGCTAATTTGGCCCTATTACCATGGCATGAGCCACCTGGGGCCTCTGCTGAATGCCCCAGACATCCTACAAGGACTCTCAATGCTGACTGGTAAGAACCTGCCTATCTCCCAATACAACGGGGCTCCAGAAAGTGTGCTCCCTCTTTCTTTGGTGGTATTTCCATGCCCAGCTATGAAGTCTTAACTACTCAAGTCAACACTCAGAGGGACCCCAAGGCAGATGTCTGGAGCTCTCTCTGCAGTTTTCTCTCCAAAGCCAGCTGCCTCAACCTTCTGAACTCTGATCCTTATCTCTGAAGCTCAGTGAGCCATAGGATTCTGCTTGGCTGCTCCCTGCTTGCACTGTGGTCTGGTAAACACCTCACCGGGTCCCTTTGTTATGGCTTGTATCTAGATGTGCCCCCAAAGCCTCATGAGGTCATAGGTGGGGCTTTTTGGAGGTGGCTGGATCTAGGGTATGTGATGCTGGAGTTAAGGGTATGATGTTGAGATTAAGGATGTACAATTACTGAATTAGTCCACTGATTGATTTAGCATAATTCTGAGTGTTGAGAATGGGAAGGCCCACCCTGGGTGTGGATAGTATCACTCAAAAGGTGGGTAGGCCGGGGATTTAGCTCAGTGGTTTTGCTGCCTGCTGCGCAAGCACAAGGACCTGAGTTCAATCCCCGGTACAGAAAAAAAACATGGGTAGCCTGGAAGGGATAGAAGGGAGAGGTAGGCTTCTGCTTCCTACTGCTTGCTGCTTGCTGCTTTACTGCCTTCTGCTTGCCCTGCCACACCGTGACTGTTTCTCCTATGCAGTGACCTTCTGCCATGCCACCCTGCCTTAGAGCCAGCCAACTATGGACTGAAACCTCTACAAGCTATAAGATGAAATAACCTTTCCTCCTTTAACTTTGGGTGTTGGGTATTTTGTCTCAGCAATGGGAAGAATGACTAAGATATCCTTCTTCAAGGGATCCAAGCTCTGCATTGCCTGCTGTCCAGTGTCTGAAAACACTTGTTTCATGTGTCCTGTCAAGTTTCTGAATGTATATGGTAGGAGCTCCCAGTTCCCTGGGAGTTCTCTCCATGTGATACACTGTGGGTGGGGCAGGTTATACACTTCTCAAGAATCTTTTATAAAAGTAAACATAGGGGGGAAAAAAAGTAAACATGGGGCTAATCAAAGTCAAAAGGTCACTAGGTCATTCTGATCTGTTCCTTGGAGAAACTCAGTTTGCATACTCACAGCCCAGCATCAAGTCTAATTTTCCAACAGAAATTATTAGTGTCCATTAACTGATGACTGGATAAATAAAAAGTCGTATATCCATACAAAAGAATATTATTCAGTAATACAAAGGAACAAGCTACTGAAGCATGCTACAGAATGGATGGATCTTGAAAACAATATGATAAATGAAAACCAGTCACAAACAACCATACATTGTATGATTTCATTTGTATGAGCTGTCCAGAATGGAAAAATTTACAGAGCAGTGTAGATGAGTGATTGCTTAGGGTTGTAGTAAGGCATGGGTACAGCAGTCCTTCTGGAGAAGGGGGACAAAAATGTTCTAAAATTAGATTGCAGTGATGGTTGTCCAACCTTGTGAATATACTAAATACATTGAATTATAATACTTTGGGCAGATAGTATAGTATGCTATGTGAATTATATCTCAATAAAGCTGTTTTTTAAAAAATAAAGGACTACTAGCAATGTTTTTCGGATTATTTTTCAGTAATTCGTGTAGGTTTTATTCCTTCAGATTATGCAGCACTACTGCAGCAGCCCAATAATTTCTCCTAGTGGGACCTCATCCTCACCCCAGTAAACTGAAAGGGTAGCCCCCAGGCTTTCAGTGCCTAGTGCTCTCCATGTTGAGTGAGGACAGGACAGTGCACTCATCAGATGTGGTATGTGTGATTTTCCCCAGGATCATCCATGAGGATGGCTTCTCTGGAGAAGACGTGAAGCAGTACAAGCCTGTGGTCTACAGCAACACCATCCAATCTCTGGCAGCCATTGTCCGGGCCATGGACACTTTGGGCATCGAATATGGTGACAAAGAGAAAAAGGTAAGCAGCTCCCCGAGCTCAAGAGCACAACAAGGAAAGGGCTCATCTCTGTAACCCCACTGCCTCATCTGCTCCATATCAGAGCTATATGGCAGCAGTTACCAACATAAGGCATTGTACCAATCCATTGTATAAACACAAGGGTCTCCATGACAGGCAGGCTTCACAGTAGAGTCACCTGCAAAGCCAGCAGCTGCAGAACTCCGGGGTTGGTGCCTGTCCTGAGGCCCCCAGAGTACCTACCCTCAGACAATTAACCTGATCAGAAAAATATTTGCTGAATCAGATTTGCCTCATCTAGCCACCTTTTCCCCTCCTTAGGACTGCCCTTGCCTTCTTGGGGCAAGGGATGCCATTTGGGTTGATGCACTCTCCTTTATACTGTACCTCAGTGTGTTCTTACAGCCTCTCCCGAGCAGATCTGAGACTCTCCTTCCTGTGTCCTAGAACAGGGTTTGGGTTTTGGTCAAGTTTCTAGGTATCTGATAAGAAGTGAATGGGATAAGTATACAAAAGCTTCTTATTTGCAAATGTTTGTATTCGCGGTAAGGATGAATTGTATGCAGATACACTCACAAAGCTAAAGGAAAGGGAGGAAGGCCACAAGGGAGAAGAGAAAACAAGCTCAGAGACCTTGATCTAGAAGCAGCACTTTGTCAGCTGTTGTGATGGAGAATCCCACCATCCTCTCCAGAGCCAGGAGAAGGGAGCAAGGGGAGACCTCTCAGCGAACACCAGGCCAGCACTGGAGATTCTGGGTGGTATCTGTCCTTGGCTACTGTGCAGCTTATATATATATACCTTTTTTGCTAAAATTCATCTCCCTCACAGAGGAAAGCTATCGTGGCCTCTGTGCAGCTAGTAAATCATCTGTGACAGATAACTTTAAATGTAAAATTTAATACTTTATGCACAAAATCCTAATTCCATGGGGCAGAGTCACCCTGGCTCAGGCATTGGCTCCTCCAGGTTCCCGGGGAATTGGGTGACTGAGAATGTATTGCAGGCCAGCTTGGGGGCAGAGTTAGGGGGAGGGGATGTTGACAGAGGCCTGCCCTGTCTATTGCCTGCTTCTCATGAGCCTGAGTCAGAAGAACTTGTTCCTCAGGACACTGGCTATGGTGGTGGTCAGTAGGACTGTGGAAGGAGGAAGGCAAACTGAGAGGCACCGTTAGTTCTTAAGTCTTATTTCTGTTAAGCATTCACTACAGGCTTCCATTGTGCTCAGTGCTGGGAATACAGGAGCCAGCACAGCAGGAGTGGTGTGGTAGAGAAGTAGACACTCAAAAGACCTCCACTCAGATCATCAGAGTTGGCCCAGAGGAGCACAGGGTCTCATTCGCCTTCACAGTGGTAGCAACAGTCAGAACAAAATGGCCATCATTTATTGAGCACTATTTACTGCCAGGCCCGGCACTAAGCCCTTTACCTGTATTAATTCATTATACTTAATGCAGACATTGGGGCCCAGAGCAGGTGGTGCCTAATCTGATCTTCAGACATGGTGCAGACCACAGGCCTTTGGTTTCTCTTTTCCTCGGGCCAAAGGAGGAGCATGGTGCCCCACCTCCAAATCTCAATTAACTAGATGACAGGCAGGGCTCAAGTCACACCTCACATACATGTGGCACTAGGGGTCCCAGCCAACTCCCACTTCCAGAGTCTCCTGCCCTGATTATAACTCAGAAAAGGCAAATGTGACTTTGGAATGCCTTTCTCCTTTCTGGAAAACATTAATTGTTCCTGTGGGATTTTTTTTTCCATTTTATCCTGAATAGAGAAATGATTACTTGGGAATTGCTAGGAGGCTGATATGTTAAGGGTTATATGGTAGAGCCTCTGGGAAACAGGCTCTTCTCTGGCTGTCTCTTCTTTATGGGATTTTCCTGAAAAGTCAACCTTAAGTAGGAGAGTGGGAGGGCTGCCACTGAAGGGAAGATGGAAAGCACGGTGGGACTCCCTAGATAGCCCAGCAGACTCAGTAGAGTCCAAGCCCAAGCCTGCTATAGCAGGTGGTACCTTGACAGCACAGGTGTACAGGGATGATCTTCTACCTGGCAAGGCCTCCCAGCCCTTACACACCTCTTCCCTGAATTCTGCTCCTTCTTCCAAGGAGCAGGAGAATAAATTAAGCCCAAGACTCAGACTAAGTCTGACAGCTGGAGAAGGGCTTTCCTGGGAGCAGCAGGCGTGAAGCTGGGTGGAACAGAGTGGCATCGATTCTCCCCTGTTGATAGTGGACTCACAGGCCTGGGAGGGCAATAGAGGCTTTAGGGCCTGCTGGCATGGGTCAGCTGCAGGAAGCCAAGATTCTTCTTCCCTTTTACTCATCCTCAGGGAGCTTCCTCTGTAGAGATACAGCCAGAAAACAGGTCTTCAAGTAGGTGACTGCATAGTCACATGATGACCAGGACTGAGTGGAAGGTAAGGCAGGGGACATGAGGGAGTGGGGGAGCAGACAAAAGTTTTCCAAGGAGCCCTGAGTGAGGAGTGAGCCAGGTGGTTGGAAGAATGTAAAGCTCTCTTCAGCATGGGCTACCTCAGCAGGCCATTGTTGCTGCTCAGTGCCCTGACCTCAGAGCTAGGCCTCCAAATTATTGTTTCTCTCATTTCCCCAGGGCCTGTCCACCTAGAAGACCTGCCATTTAGATGTTGGGAACCACCCCACGCAGTACAGATTCAGATTGGTGTTTGGATCTCTAAGGAAAAGACTCCCTTTTTACTCAGGCCTTACCCACTTCTGCTGCCCTCCCCACCCCTCATGGTTGTATCTGGAGGACAGCTCTATACCTAATTGCACTGTGGGACCAGTCAGCTTTGTGCCCTTCCTAAAGATGGACATATAAAAGCTTCCTTGCTATACTGCAGCCCCAGCCACTAGAACAGGTATTCCTGGGCTTCTCCTAGCAACTGGCTCCCCACTTTTCCTGGCCCCCAGTTGAAGGAGTAGTGATGCTCCCTTGGTGTCTCTGTCTTGTGAACTCACTGGAGGCTACATGGTTTTGCATGAGCCTGAACCTGAAAGAGGGGCAAAGGAGTATGCTTACATCACCCTGTGGCCTCAGACTCCATGCCTCAGCCTCACCAGATGACAGTTCCTCCCCAAAGATATGTTCTCCTGCCTTGGGCCTTTGCCAGGCCTCCTCTCAGCCTCCACACTCTATTCTGCTTCCCTTCTTCATGGAACTGCTCCATTCAGTAAGGACCCTCTCTTCCTCTCTCTCAACACCTTCTCTTCCATTCCACTGCCCACCTTCCCCCATGTCGGAGAAACAGTATAGTGCTTTCTCTCCATCATGTTTTCTCTGCATTAAGCACTTATGCTGTGCACTGGTATACAGGTCGATTGTATGGATGTCTTTGTCCTTAGAGCAGTGAGCCTTGCACTTTAGGATGGTTAGAATTCCTTGCAGGATCTGATGAAAGCCACCAACCTTCTCTCCAGAAAGAGAGAAATATGCACATATCTAGGAAATTTTGCTGACAACTTCAGAAAGTTCTAGACCACTTAAAGCCCACCAAGGGAGCCTAGAGTAAGAACCCTTCATATTTAAGATGTTTCTGATCAAGGTCTGGGTCATTCATCTTTGGATCACCTCTTCCACACCCCGAAGGAGCATAGTGCTTAGTACATAGTAGGTCCTAGAATGTAGTAGGTCTTTGAAACACATCCCTTGGATGGAGTAACATTTTTCACTTTCCCAGTTCTCAGGGGAAAAAAAAGGAAAGTACCTGGAATTTCATCAGTAAAGGATAATACGTTGATTGTTCAGTACCTGTCCTGTGGAGGCTCATGCCAAATCCTATGCAAAAGGTCAGAGGCATATGAATCGAAGCCTTTGAGGAGCTGGTCATCTCTTTGGTTGACAAGGCTCACAGACTGAATGAGCACAGCCTTGCCATGCGACGATCTGGGAAACTTTTAGGGCAAGGGAGGCTGATACCATCCTTGAAGCATAGGTATGGTTGGACAGGTTCAGGTCTGGATGAGGAAAGTGCCTGAAGCTGCAAAGGAGCCCTGAATCAAGGTGGTGGTAATGACCTAAAGGAGATTTAATTGGCAGAGGAGGCCCCCAGCCAGAACAGCAGTGGGATGTGATCGTGGCACAGCAAAGTCAGAAGATACTGTGGAGCCAGACTTGGTGAGCCTTGTAGTTTGAGTTTTATGCTATTAGCAGGAAGAACTGGGGGGTGGGGGGGGGGCAGAATGAAAATGAGATTTTAGGCAACTCTTCCAGTGGCACAGCAGACTAGTGGGGAGATGCTGAAAGTAGGGAGACATTAGGGAATGACTGAACTAGGCTATGCATGAAATGTGGGGAGTCTAGATGAGGGGTTAGGAAGGACAGGTAGTGCAGTGGGGAGTAACAGAGGCAAAAAAGGGGTAAAAGGATAAGGACCAAGAAACTGAGACACTTGTGTTGCTTGCCTGGAGGGTGGGAACTAGAGAAAAGTTCAGGCAGAAAGTCAGGAAGCAGTGTGCAGGTGTTTGCTGTCCGGCTGTCCAATGAGTCTGCTTTCACGCCTAATGGACTTTTATGTGGGAGTGATGGGCAAGTACATGGATGCATAGAACTAAAGCCCCATGAATTAATGGCTCCAGGATAAAAGTGATTTCCAGTTTTTATGTTCCAGGGTCTGTTTTAAACCGTTCCCATTCGTGCTTGCTTCGCAGCGCGTATACTAAACAGTTCCTATTATTATGTAATAACAGTTAATGTTTAAGTCATTTAACCCTAACAGCTACCTATGCAGTATTACAGTTATCTCCACTTTGTAAGTGAAAAAAGTGAGGCATAAAGAGGCCACGTGACTTGCCCAGGGCCATACACTACAAAATATATATGTATATATTGTAGATATATAACTCTGCGCAGTTCCTGTGGCTCAGACCCAAGGCCTCTTTTTTCTTTCTTTCTTTTTTTTTTCAGTGCTGGGGATTAAACCCATGCCCTTGAACATACTAGGCAAGTGTTCTACCACTGAGCTTCATTCCCAACCCCTTTTGACTATTGTTTTATTTTGAGGTGGGGTCTCCTGCCCTTTCTTCTCCTGCTTCTCCCTCTCTCCATCTCTTTTTCACTTCCTCTCTTTCTCCCCTGACCTCCTCAATCCCCTTTTCCTCCTCTCCTTCCATGTCCCCTCTATTATTACTGTATTCTGTAAATTTTCTTAACCTTTGCAGCCAAAGTTTGCCCCTCCCACTTCCTCTATCCATAGTCCTGATGCTGCATCTGCATCAGAGGAATTTGTCTGACTGAACTCGCAAGAGCTCCAGACACTGGAAGCAAAAATAGAGAGAATGGACAATTACAGGGTTAGAAAGTTCACTTTCCCCAAGGGGGCAGGGAAGGGGGAAGTCTTTGAACAATCTTATGTTACTAAATTTTATATCAGACACATCTGTGCATACATAAACAGGTACAAAATTTATATGTGTATCTCTGAGTATGTAACATATATTACAAACTAATGGAGAATTAGTAGTGTTGGGGTTCAGAAAAAAAAACAGTACCCCAAAGTATGGCACTTTGGCATGCTGAGTACTTTGAACTAAAGGTCATTGGAAGAGCCTCAGAAGCAAAGCCTCTTCCAGATCTCCTAACGCCCTGACTCCTACCTGCCCTACCCCACCCCGTAATCACAGAAATCAGAAAACCTCTTCCCCAAGGCAAGTCTTATAAACTAGAAACATTACTCTAACTTGGTCTTTCTGTTTAAGAGCTGACCATAAAGAAGTTCTGTGACTTACTTTGTGCAGTAGACAATATAACCCTCATTTCAGGGGGCCCAGCCCCATACCCAGGAGAAAGGAATGCTGCACAAAGAGGCTAAGAAGACTCAAAACAGGGGCCAGGGATTTAGCTCAGTGGTTCTGCTGCCTGCCTGGCAAGTGCAAGGACTGGAGTTCGATCCCTGGTACCAAAAAAAAAAAAAGAAGAAGACTCAAAACAGACAGGCTTTGCTGGGATTCCCCACTTCACCCTGTTACCTTAGATCTTACACTTTTTATCCTCTCACATTTCTACCCATCTGTCCATTCTTCATTGAACCTAGGCATAAAAATAGACAGTTTCCTAAAATAGAAAAATAGACCAGTGATGGCGAATCTTTCAGAACTTTCAATAATAATAAACAGCCCGCTGCAACATGTGTACCATAGGTTTGCCACCACTGCTATAGGCCCGTTGGTCTCTATTTCTCAAGGCTCTTTTGACCCCTAAAAGTATAATTAAACAAACATGTTGTTCTTTTCTTGTGTTAACCTGTCTTTTGTCACAGGGACGTTCTCCTGTGACCCTTATGATGAGTGAGGGGAGGTATCATATCTTTCCACCCCTGCAAGGCAATTCCCTGAACTTATATCAAGCTATATTCAGATGAAAATGCTACCATTTTGTTCTTCTTTTCTTCTTTCCTTAAGAAAAAAAAACTATTTGTGCATATGCCTATTTCTTCCATTTATTATAAGCTTCTTGAGGACAGAATGTCATTTAACACAATGCTTAGCCTGACACAGGAAGTATTGGATACTGGATTCAAAGCCTAGCTCTACTACCAGGTATATGGCTCTGGGCAGATTATTTAGCTTCGCTAAGCCTTGATGTTTTTATACTTTCTTCATTGAACAACTATATGAGTAAATGAAATAATCCAGCTAACGTGCATAGGTAGTGCCAGACACAGAAATTCTCAGCACATACTATGGCTTTTTTCCTTGATAAAATTATTATTGATGTTGTTGTGACCATATTGATGAATTATCCACATAACAATCTATTGAGGAATTGTCAAGGTATTGTCTCCATTTTTCAGCTTAGAAATGGAAGCACAAGGCACTGAATTGGCTGCTCAAGATCACTGACCTGAGCAGGATGAAAGATCCGTGCTGGCTAGAATTGCTGTGCAGGGCACTTGTATGCCACCAAGGGGCTTCATTAGAACTGTCCCCACTAGAGATAATGGCAGCTCTTTGGGGAGACGGAATCAAATTTCACACATAGTTTCCAGAATCTCATTGGATCTCCTCTGGTGAAAGAAATCTTGACATTTAAGTCACACCATGGAGCCCAGAACACTATCTTTTTTCTAATCATGGAAATGCTGTGCTGCCATCTACACTGTGCAGGACTGTTCACCTTGTGGTTTGCATGACTTCTGAAACAGACAAAAACAAGGATGCTATCTGGCCTATCTCCACCTGAGTTCCCTGGGGCCTGGAGACAGTCGAGTGGTGGTTGTCAAATCTGATGGGGGTTGGAGGTGGAGACACCTGAAGGCCTCATATCCCTGTACCCAAACCTGAGGCCAAGAAGAGGCATGTACATTTGCCACATGCAGGTACTGATGCTCTCCACATATCCCAGCCCCACAGCCTGGCCCTGCCTTGCCCATTTGCCTGCCCAGATTAACAGCTTGAAACTCCTCCATTCAAGACCATCCTGTTTTTCTACTCCATTTTTCAGATAGAGCAAAAGAGGGCCATCTGACCTAAACAGTAAGATTCCCTCTTGGCAGTCCCAGGACCAAGACTTTGGGTTTCCTGAGTCACTGTTCAGCTCATTCCATCTCACCAGGCTGCCTCTCATCATTTTTGTTGGTCCATCATTCCACCAAATACTTATTTAGTACACACTTCCCAGGGAACAGTCTATGACATTACAGGATGGTCACAAGGTCAAGAGGCTCCCAATCGTGTGCAGAGATGATATCCTAAGATGAGAAGGTAGACACCTTGGTTTCCAAGGCTTGTGTCAGCTCCAGCATGCCAGATCTCCAGGATTCTGTGTGGTCAGGTCAGCCTGCTCCTGGGCTCCGAGGCTGGATCAAGCCCTGGCTCCTGGTTTGGGGGGACATCCACTGTTAATCCCCAATAGAAGGATCCTCTGATCTGGCAACTGCACTTTGGCCAGAGGTGGCAGCAATGTGGGCTCTTCCTGGTCCTCCTCTAAAAGAAAGAACCAACTCCAAGGCACAGCACTTTTCAACATGGGAAGGAAGAGGAGAGATTTTTGAGATGTCTCTCAGATGCCTCTCCTCCTTAGTCTTGGGTTTCCTCAGTTGAAGTGGCTGTTCCCTCTGCTGAGCCCTTGTCACACTCAAGCTTCACTCCCCCTGCCCCCAGCACCCTGCTTTATGGCTTATTACCAGACAGCAGGTCTGGAAGGACAGAACAGTCTTGTCCATCTGCAAGTTCCCACATCGTCATGCTCAGTGCATAGCCTACATCACTGACATTGGTCAGTCTGTGACATTGGTGATCCACTCATGCACCAGCTCTGTGCCTCTTCAGGCCCAGGCTGGGCTATGGGCTAGGGACAGACTTGAGAACAGGACAGAGTCCCTACCCAGAACAGAAGCATCCCTGGAGAAAGGAAGGAAAGATGTGGAATACCCTTCTTTTTGTGCCCTCTCAGCACGCTTACCAGCCAGAACAAGGTAACTGGAGTGGCTTCTTATGCTTACCTGTTGATTCTTCATTCCTGCATTCATACAGGGTTGGGCAAGACCTAATCCCAAGAGAGCAGGCCAGGGGCAAACACATCAGTGGACAGCACTTTTTATTTTCATGAAAGCAGAGGGCCAGAAACCCCCTGGCAGTGCACCTCAAGCATCATACAGAGGCAAGGCAGGCACAGGCATTGCGATTGGGCTACCCCAATCAAGTCCCAACTCCTCTGCTTCCTGGTCTGAGACAATAGAATAAGGTCCAAGTTCCTTAGCTATACACTCTAGTGATTATGATGAAGACAATAATAGTGACCTTTCTCAGAGGGTTGTCCATGGATTAAATGACTCAATATATGCAAGCTTAGAGCACAGAAGTGCTCAGGAAGGGTTAGCTAGTATTAGCCTCGTGTGCCTTGAACAAAGGGACACCTACTGTTGCTTTCAAAGAGTGATTGGCAACAATGGCAGTGACCCATCCTGGAAGAGGTGCATACAAGGGGCCTGACAGCATGTGAGAGGAGTGCTATTTTTACTTGGGTTCTGTCCTTTTTTCTACTCTCCATCCTAGAGAAATGGCATGGAGGCAAGAAGTGGTTCAACCAAGTCTACTCCCTGAATGATTGGCCTAAAGTGAAGATTTGCTAGTGAGGGAAGAAAGTGCCCAAAGAATGAAGAGTTCTCATTAACTGAGTTTAAGGGTTTACCTAGAGCTGAGTAGAAAATCTTTTGTTTGGCCTATAGATTTCTGAACCTTGATAAAATGCTGTGCCATTCCCTGCCTTAGTACATTGAGAACAATGGGGTGTTCCCTTCTTGATGGAGGGTCATGCTGACTTATGGCCCTTCTCTGGAGATATCAGATCAGGGATTGTGATCTAGGCTCAGAGATGAAGGACATTCCTGTAGGAGACCAGGCTGTATATACTCTTATCCCCAGAACATTCTGAAGAAGTCACCTTTTGGACTAAACTGCTAAAGAAATAATTCACCTAAGAAAACAGCTGTGTCCTTCCTGCCTTGAAGCCTTTGACCTAGAGGCACCAGGCCAAGTGTGAACATGCTCCCTGACCTTTGCTTCCAGGAGCAGGAGGCAGAGTGCACTGATCCTTGTGTAGGTGTGCCACGTATTGGATTTGAGCAGTTGATTCTTAGCTATAAATGGTAGGCACTTTCCCTTGAGAAAGTCACTTAGATCATCTGAGTTTAACTGTAAGTTAGGATACACTTGGCTGCCACCAAACCAGTAGTGACCCAAACCATGAGAAGAACCTCTGTTTGCTGGACAGAGAATCCCAAGAGTTCCCTCTCCCAGAGCTGCTTCTGCAGCTGGGCAAAATCAGGGCTTGGGTAAGCACCTCACTGGGTCTCCCGATGCTCATGTTTTCTAGATGGCAAGCATCACACTGTCACATACAAGGAGTCCAGAGGTGGAAGAAAGAAGTAGGGCAGCCTTAGACTTCTTGTACCACACTGTAATGGGGCTTTTGTCATCACTCTAGCAGGACACACAGTCGAAAGGGGGCTTGGGATAGCACCAGTCACCACCTGCCACATTTCTTGCAGACTGTGGTGGGAATTAAATAAGAACACAAAAATGAGTGTAATAAGTTGATGGGAAGCCTTGTCCAAAAATCAAGAATGATGATGGGGGGCCGGAGGATTTAGCTCAGTGGCGCCACCACCTGCCTCGCAAGCACAAGGTCCCAAGTTCGATCCCCGGTACCCCCAAAAAAAGAATGGTGATGGGTATGCAGGCTAATGGCAGAGGAGCGTCTTATTTTTTTCTTCAGTCTTCGCCTTTGTCTTCTCACATGGGCTCAGAAACTGTAGTATTGTCCCATGTGGTAACAGAGACAAGGAAACAGCTGAGTGACAAAAGTCCTAGCAGCACAAAGGTGGTGGCAGAAGTGTCTGGGTAAGAAAGTCTCTCTAGGTGAGCCCCGGGTAGACAGTGGCAGATGCTGCCTGCATGGGAGACTGACAGCTTCACCTCTGTCCTGCACACTGGGCTCACTGCTCATGGTGAAGGCCCCAGCCAGCTCTCAGTCTCCACCTGGCCTCACCCGGCTTTCCTACCCTGCCATACAGAGTGGAGTAACTGTTCAAGGTTGGCTACCATCAACCTCTCCCTGGTCACTGCCTACAGAGAAGGGTGTGGCATTTTAAGAAGAAAAAAAAGGTCAAAGGAAAGTCAGATGAAAGATTTCAACCAGTAGTAAAGGAAAACCTCAGATTTGTATGCATGCTTTCTCTCTGTCTGATTCACTCATTCACTTACTCACTATCTTTGACTCCCCTTCTCTCTCTTTATAAGCCTAATTACTCTGCTTTGATGGTAGAAAGTGTTTTCAACTGTGCAAATAAACATTCCAATCATCAGGTCTGAGATGAGGGCCTTCCCTTGAGAGTCTGGGAGCAACCCCACAGCAGGACCTGACACCATTGCCTTTAGCACAATTGTGAGGACATCCTTTGGGGCTCAGAGTCGTAATTTTAAGATAATAAATAAACCGCCAAGAGATCTCACTGTCTTAGAAGATGTGAACAGCTGAGAGAGGCTTATCTGTCCAATGTTATATTTTGAGTTTCCAGGAATATTGAAAAATGAAGAAACCTCCATAAAAAAAAATTATGATATATTGTAAATGTGTGTATATAATACTTTGGACCCACCACAAATACAATGAAATATAATTGTGCTCTCTAAGAAATAGTTAACAGGATTTACAAAGCCTTTATTTCACAGTGTAGTGCCAGCCATCTGTGTGTAATGGGACACAGGTTAGATATTGCAATGTGCACTGTCATCTTTCACCCCAAGAGTTCTCTTCCTGACTAGGTCTAGTACCTAATTTGGTCCATGTCCCCATATTTGAACCTTTTGTGAATATACAGTCCTTCTTGACTACTGTTCAGGAGGCTAGGGGACCAATAAGATAAGTTTTACCTTGCTGAGGGCTGTCAGGGACTGAGAAAAGATGAGTTGAAGCAGCAGCATCCTGTGGGTGAGGCTGTGAGTCACAGGCTTGTGGGGATGGCCAAGATGGTGTCTGTCTCTCCCCAGCTCAGAAGCTCTGCTCTGAGTATAGGAGGATTTCAGCACCTCATATGTGGGATAGGTCAGATTTCCATCACTATAATTAAATACCTGAGGTAATTAACATAAAAGAAAATGTTTATTTTGGCTCATACTTTTGGAGGTTCTAGGTTAAGATTGGCCAGTCCCATTGTTTTGGGCCTCTGGTGGTCCTGCTAGGTAATTAATGGCAGGGAGCATGTGGCAGAGCAAACCCACTCACACCCTGAGCCAAGGAACAAAAGAGAAAAAGAAAGGGGCCCTGGTCCCACTATCCCCTTCAGGGGAATGCCTCAGTGGCCTAGGGACCTCCTGTTAGGCCCTACCTCCTAAAGTTTCTACCACCTCCCAGTATTGCCAATGGGGGGACCAAGCCTTTAACACACGAGGAAGACAAAACCAGTACCCTTCTTCCTTCTCCAGCTATTTGTGTACCCACATGCTCCTGGCTGACTCAGCTCCTCCCCCTTTCCTCTTTATGTACTGGGAAGCCAACCATGGTCTGTCACCACTGCGAAACCCTTCTGGGTAAGTTAAAACACTCTTGGCTACAAGTAACAGAAGACACACCAAACTGGCTTACTAAAACAAAACAACAACAAAAATCAGCTGGCCCAGTGGTGAGGAGTCTAGAGATACAACTGGAGATGAGGCCTGACTCACCAGCTCAGGTGATGTCCCCAGCTTCCCTCCATCTCCCCATCTTATCCTACTGTGTGGCCTTCTCCTCAGACTCCATAGACCTGCTCCCCCACCATGCAGGAAATAGGCTACAGCAGTTAAGTCAGTGTTCCTAGCCCTGCATGCATCCTGCCACATCCCAGAACCCAAGGCACACCTGTGCAGTCTCTACCCTGAGTACCACCAAGTCCTGGGAGTCTCTGGATCTCACCCTACCTCTGAACCAATCTCTGTGATTAATAAGAGGATGCAATGCTCTAATTGACTAGCTAAGGGGTTCCAGAAACAAGAGTGAATATCCCATAGGAAAACTAAGAGGTCATGAAAAATGAAATGGGGTCAAAAGAAAGATGCTAGAGAGGCCCTCACAAGCCATCCCCAGATCTCTCCTTGATTTTGGCCCTCCAGCTGTGCCTACCCTATGAAGGAGGGGATTCATATGGTAGCAGTACAGGGCCAGCCCAACTGCTTCCAGCATGACAGGATCATGAGATAACTATGCTGCTGTTCCCATGTGGGCAGCCAGGGCCCCTCAGAGGGCAGGGTCCTTAGACACACAGCACTCATTACCACTCAACCAGCTGGTCTTACCTTTCTACAGGGGCTACTGCAGAGACCAGTGGAGGAGTTAGAGTTGAAGAGGGAAGGTGAGCCAGTGGCAAGGGAGGTCTCTGCCAGAAGACTTGGCTCTTTCTCAGCCTGCCTAAACCATCAGGGATCCTAGAGATGAGCCAGTCAGGACATCATTTTAGAGCTGGAGAGGTACAGTTCTAGAGGTCTGTGCCCAGGGAGACAAGACAGGTCAGCAGGGATTAGAGCCAGAAATGCAAAGAAATAGAGACAAGGGGAGGGGAAGGGACATGGAAAAGAGTAGAGCAGCAGACAAGAATGTATGATTCTCACCTGGGAAACACTAGAGACGGTTCTGCCCAAATGTCAAGTGTCCTGGTGTCAAGGGAATGTTTAACACAAAGCCTGTGGAGAATAAATACTCCTGGACAGCAGCTGCTTTGTTCATTTTTATGCCACGCCCAGCCCCTCCAGCTGAAATGTCTCCTCTCCTGGACAGCATCTGGCCACTCTTTCATTCATTCACTCATTTGAGAAACAGATACTGTGCCCTTGAATATACCAGTAGCATGGTAGCACTGGATGTGTTGTGGTAAACAAAAGCAAACAGGTGTGCTGCCGGCAGGGGCACCTGGTTAACAGGTGCACCACCACCACCCCTCAGCAGTTCCAAGGAGCTCTGCATGTCCTGACACTGGGCCTGGCCTGGCCTGCACTGAGGACAAGGTATCTGACAAAAAACTGAAGGGCTTGGCATTAGTGAAGCAAATAGCAGGGAAGGGAGGTGGGTGTTTCACGTAGGTGAAACTGCATGCCCCAAGGCTCTGGGATGGCAAGTCCTACCCCACCGTAAGCATCTAAAAGGCCAATGTGGCTGGACCCCAAAAGTCAAAGGGGGACTATGGCAAAGGGAGGTAGGGACAGCCTTGTGAGAAGAGTTTCTAAGTATGGAAGGAATTTTGGCTTTGCTCCTCATACATCGGGAAGCAGCCACTGCAGGATCTAAGTAGGTTAAGGCATGATTTGCCTTTGAAAGTCTCACTGTGGCTGTGGAGACAGTGGAGAGATGGGCAGCAAAAGTGGCAAGAGGGAGATAAGCTGAGAGACTACCACAGACATCCAGGGATTGAGAGAGGTACTGTCAGTCCAGAGAGAACTGGGCCTTGCCGTGGGTCTTCCTGTAGTCCACTCCACATGAAACCTCTGTGCCACATCACTCAGCCAGACTCTGAACCCCTCTCAGCAGACTGCCTGGCATACAACATGCAAAACCCTGCAGATGTCTGTTGGGGAGCAGGTGGAGGCCCACTGTCCATACCTAGTGCAGGACCCTGACCCTGAGCACAGCAGCAGCCTAGGTTTCCCTGCACTGGATGTCCTCAGGGGAAACCACCTCAGAGCAGGCATCTAGAGAGCTGCCACCTCTCCTGCCTCATCCCACCCCACCCCAACTTCAGCCCCTTCTGTATACTCTGTCATCTACTCCTTTGGCCTCAGTTCCCTCATCCGTAAATGAGGGGTAACTTCTACACTCCTGATGATCAAATAACCATGGATAGGTGCCTTTGCAATGCAGCATGTGTCACCAAATACAACAAGAGCATGTTACTACCATTGGTGCCATGGACCCACGCTGGTCCAGGCAGCAGCTTGTACCTCACAGCACAAGTGGTAGCAGGTCACAGCTCTCCTTCCTCTGTCTGAGTCAGCCCAGAGCAGCTCATGCTTCTTAGTAGATCTGGATTAGGATCATTTGCACAAGCAAACTTGCCTCCGTCAGTATCTCTGGTCTGAGGTCCCCAGGGCACAATTCTAAAATAGCTCACTGCCATATTTGGTCCAGCTTTTCCACCTCTATAGAGGCCCTGCTTCTCTCCCTGCCCACTTCCTTCCTTCCTTCCTTCTTTCCTTCCTTTCCATCCTTCGTTTCTTCCTTCCTTCCTTCCTTCCTTTTTCCTGCTTCACTTACCACAGCAGCTCCACTCTGCTCAGTGCCAGGACTAGCTGGGTCCCCTGATGCCAATTGGCCAAGGAGAAACAAGTGGCAGTCCCAGCTCAGGGTGGCTTCTGGGCACAGTCCTGCAAGCCAGGGCACCTGATGATGGCTCTGCATCTGTAGACATGGACCTGAATGACGAAGTCCTTGACCCCTTGACGTCCCTCTCCAGGACCTAGTGTAGTGTTCTGCTCTGCAGCAAGAAGCCTAGTTCATGCACGGGTTAGCGCACCTTCTCATGGAGAATCACAGCCTGCATCCTTGACATGAAGCTTAGTGCGTGGTAGCACAGAGCACAGGGTTGGAGTCAAGCCAAGGACAAAGCTGGCTGCTCATTTTTTAGCTTTTTTACCTCAGGTGGTTCCTTAACTGTAAGATGGAAGTAGCACTAGCATATATATCTAGCAGAACACAAGCTAATCTGGTATAGCAAAGACTCCAAAATAACTAAGATGAAAAGGTAGTACTCTTGCCTGAGTGGCTCGGAAGTAAGTGATACAGGGTAGGGTACTTTTTCTTCTTGTTTTATTGCATGTAGGGTCTCTGTTTCCACTGTAAGCTCAAAGGCTCCTCCAACTACCCCTTCTCACCAACAGCAAAGGGAAACAGGGAAGCACAAAGTCATTGTTTTCAGGAGAGGAGCTGGATTATAGAAGGCCTTGAATGTAAGTCCGAAGAGTACAGATTCTCCATGGCATGAACCAAGAAGCATCTGGGTTAGAGGAAGAGCCATGGACAAGCATTGTTCCACAGGGACTGACCTGGGGATGCTGAGTAGTTGGAAGTCTCCTTGATGGACCTGGCTGCAACATGTCAGTTGGTTTCAGGCTTACTTTTTATCCAAGGCCCAGTGATTCTCCCCTGACCCAGAACATAGAATCTCGGACTGCTACCACCACCAGTCATCGAGGACCCACCCTCGCACCACAAGACAAGAGTCCCCACCTGCCCTGCTCTTTCTGGGGGACCTCAGTCCACAGCAGCTTTCCCAGAGAGCCTTTCCTGTGGCCACTCAGCTTCAAGGCCAGTGCTGCTCCTCCTGCCTCCTCAGGAAACCTCCCCCCTGGGTAGCTCTTCCCTGTGTGTTGGGGGGGGGGGTATGCTGCCCAACCCTCACAGGCTGAAGAGCCCCACTGGAGTTTAGTCACAGATGAGCTTCTCTGTGAGCTCATGGCATAGCCCTGTGGTTTTGTGCTAGGCTCCTGTGGCCCAGAATTCTCCCATCACAGATCCTAGGATATGAACCTGTTACTACCTCTGGTGCCTCAGACCAGTAAAGTGAAGCTCACTTCTCATCTAGTAATTTGGGAACAGGAAATAAGACTCCTAGGGACAAGTGCACACATACTGTCAAAGGTGCCAGGGGCCCAAGGCAGAGAGGCCTGCCAATATGTCTTTCCCAGTAACCTCCCCTTCCTGTTTGAGTAATCCTTACATAGCCATTCTGTGGGACATGCTGCTCTCACCTAGTACTCCTCTTACAGAGGGGGGCACTGAGGCATAGTGTGAGGAGACTTGCCCAAGATTATACCACCAGGTGACTGCAGAGCCGGCATGAAAACCAGGTCTCCATTCCCAGGCCAGGGCTTTTCCCACCTATGAGCTCCTCTCCTGCCCCCATGGGAAGCAAGAACTGCACTCCCCAAATCCCATAACTGCTGCTGGCCTGTCCTTCTGCTCCAGGATCCCCCTTCCATGAGCCCCTTCAGCATCAGGCAGTCAGAGGGCAGGGCTGCTATGCCTGCTTCCTTGCTGCCACCTTTGGCCCCATAACAGTGAGGCCCTTGTGGGGAATATCAGCCTTTGACTAAGAATGAGCCCCTGTTTCATCCATTAGAGGGTTCAGGGTCACCCAAGACTCCATTCTTTTATACTCTGCTTTACCTCCAAGAGTAGAAGAAGCGGGCAGCCCCTGGGCAGCGCTGTATGCCCACCCTGTTCCACATGTCAGTTCATTTGGTCCTTTTTTCTTGTCCCTGTAAGGGCACCATGTTCTGTTCTGTTATTATCCTCATTCTACAGATGAGGAGGACAGAGTTCAGAGAGGACCATTCTAAGATCACTTTACCAGGAAAGGGTGGGGCCAGGGTCAAACCTAGGCAGCCTGGCCCCAGAGTGTATGCTTTAACCCATCAATGAAGACATGGGCCTGCATCAGCCATCTCAGCTTTCCCACCAGGAGCACCATTGTGAACCATAGTCAGATAAGGCACTGAGCTGTGCCCGAAGCTGATAACCAACAAGTGCTGAGAAAGGGGGAAAAGACCAGCCTCAGCCAGCCACTGTGATACCAGCTGTCCCCTAGCTGGCCAGCCATGCCATGATTACACAGTCCCTGGCAGATGTGGCCAAGATGCCCACAGAGCAGCAGAGGTCTTGCCAGTCATAGGACAAGAAGATGCAAGACTGTCCCCAGTGTCTCCCACTGGGGCACACAGAGCGTGAGCCTGCGAATGTCCTTGGGCTCCAGGTCCTGGAAATTTCCAAATCGTGTAGGGAGGGGAGAACCAGGCTTGGCCCCTGCACAGGGCTGCTTTCTCCTGGGAAGCATTGGGGGAAGGCAGGAATACACAACTGCAGAACCCTGATCTCACAAGCTACCCAGCCCCAATGGTGACAGCAGCCAGCATGGGGCTGGTACCCCCAAGGGGCAGAAGTACAGGCACCCTGGGACCTCCAGGTACTTACCAAAGAGAGTCTGGTATCTATCAGGTGAGGGTCCATCCTGCCTCAGAGGCTCGGTGGGCAATGAGAACAGTGGTCCCTCAAAGAAAAGCCAAGCCCAGCTCTGCCCCCGGTGCTCCTGTGACTACAGGTGAGTCACTTGCCCCTCAGCCTCTCAACATTTTCATCCATTAAATCTGAGGAACCAGATCTAAGATCTCCCCTCCCCCAACCCACCCCCATTTCAGTTCTATAAATTCTAAAAAGTTCTATAAATTCTCCTGGAGGAACTTAATTGCTAAGTTTAGGTGACTGCCAAGCACAAAGCTCTTTCTTTGTGTCTAAGAGAGAAAGAAAACCCAGAGTTCCAAAGGCAGGACACGTGTGTTAAGTTGAAGATTGACTTTCTACCCGGGTGAGAGTTGATACTCTGACAACCGCCAAACTATGAGCTGCAAACCCTGCCCCACCTGAACACCCACTGCTGGGAGCTGTGGCCCTGCACAGGGGACTGTAGAAATGAGTATGCCCCTGCCCAGTGGAAACACTGCTGTAGACTTCTGGGGAAGTTTTAACTTTACTCCTTTCCTCCAAAGTTTTAATAAATTTTAGTCTATAAAATGAACTACAATAGATAACAAGAACATTCTAACTTCACTACATGGGAACAGGAGGTTTTTCTGGGAAGAAGGAAGGTGGTACAGACTATGGAAGGTGGAGTGGAAAGTGTGCAGCAAGCAGGGTGAATTCTTGTAATGCAGGTGAAGTCTCCCAGCAGCTACCTATAGGGATCTGGGGTCTGGGCCAGGTATCAGTACCCAGTGTCTTCTTCCTTCCTATGGGAAGATCCCTCTCAGGCAGGCAAGGATATCAGGCAGAAATGCCGCTATCTGCATCTGCTATTCACCTACTAGGTCAGATGGTTGTACATTTCTTTTATAAAAGACCTGCCTTTCAGAGCCGTTCCTGTTACTGTAGGGTCTACAGTTTCTCTCTATAACCCATTTGAACTATGCCAAGGAAATATATTCGTAGTGAGATGTTCTACTCTCCCACAGCTGGCACACATAGGCCACCAACCCAGCCATCAAAGCCACTAAATCAGGCAGAAGAACACTGTCAGGTGCTATAGTCACTGTCTTTGTGGCAAGGGTAACCATGAATGGGGAGCAAAAGGAGATAAAGACCCATATGACCATGTCAGCTGCAGTCTGATCAATCCAGAAGCTCACAGGGTGGTAGGGAGTAGGAGGTGGCTTTCAAGAGCTCTGTGCTTGACAAGAGTAAGATGGCAGAGCATATGGGGCAGGCTCAGAGTCAGGGTGAGAAGGCCAAGGAGGCCTTGGGGCAGCTAGATAAGGGCACTGTCATAAACAGTTTGCACACATTCTATTGATTGGCCTACACCCCAAACCCAGAGCACATGGGCAAGTGTTCATGGCACCAACAGGGTATTCAGAGTTTAGTGCAGGAGGAGATGCCACTACTGAATATTTCTGCCCTGGCCAAACTGCTAAGCAATTGCAGCAGTCTCCTCCCCAGCCTCCCCACCACTTTGCTTGTCCTCACCCCCTCTGTGCTTCATACACAGGCCAAAGTGAACTTTTAAGAGTATATATCTAATCCCCTGCCAAGAAGCCCTCAGTGGCATCCACTGCTCCCAGGATAAAGTCCAGCCCCATTTCCCGCAGCTCCTGCCAAAGGAGCTGCTGCAGCCTCAGTCTTGGGCGTATATGAGCTGTCTCCTCTCTTATTCATACCAACCCCCAGACCTTGACTCTGCTGTCACCTCCTCTGGAGGCTTTTCCTGGCTCCCTGACTCTCAGAGCCCTGGGAGCTATTTCAGGGCCTTGTCATGCTTTGGAAATGTGTGTGTACAAATATTTGATAAATGTCTGTGTTCCTGCTAAGCTGTAAGGGACAGGAACAAGGCCTGTACTAGTCTAGCATCCAGCACAGAGCCCACCCCTATATGTGTGTAGCATCCAGCACAGAGTGGGTATGTGCTCTGAAGACATTCATTGCCCATCGTGTACTGAGTTTTTCTGGGTCAGAATGCACGTTTGGTCCACCTACTGAAACTGAGAGCACCCTCTCATCTATGTTGCAGTTCACTACAGGAAACAGCTACTGTCAGGCCTTGCCCTGCCCTCACTGGCACTCTTGGCCTGCAGTCTGACTGCTTCTCAGGTGCTCCAGCCTCCAGAAGCAACCATCACAGAGTGGAGCATCCCTGCAGACTTGATGTAGTCAGGGCCTCAGACATCCTGCCAGACCAGTGTTTCTCCCAAGTCTGGGCCTGAGCAGAGTCTGGGGATGTGTGAGGCAAGTCAGGATTACAGAAGATTCCAGCCTGTATGATCTGCAACCCTGACATGGGCCTTTACCAACCCCAGCTTCCTGGGGAACCATCTGAGGTCCAGAGCCCTTGATTCCCTAGATTCAAGCCATGGTGTTAGCACAAAAATAAATCGCTTTTATGTCTACAGTCACAGTCTAAAATGAACATGTGGGTGGGAGGTGCTGGGTCACACACGAGCAGGGGCCACTATCTCTCTGAGCAGTGGCTTTGCAACTCCCTCCACTGCAGCTCAGGTTCTTCTGTTGGACTTCTGACATCAGGCCAGTGAACAGGAAAAGAAGAGCATGTGGAAAGTTACAAGAGGAGTGTTTGGAGCCAAGCCGAATCCTTGTGGCTAGAACTTAGTCCTGTATTCACACCTAACTGTAGAAGAGTCTGAGAAATGTCTGGCTTTGCCCTCAAGAAGAAAAGACAAACTGCTTTTGTCCTCCAGGAACCCATCTCTGGCACAGGGCTCAGGTGTAAATTTTAGCCAAATGGCTGCTAGCATGTTGAAATGCCACCTCCAGTGTGGCAAGAGGCATATTTCCTTGGCTCTTTTGTCTGAGGCCCACTCCTCACTTGGCCTGGCTGAGTTTCAGCAGCTGAGCACTTAGAGAATGTTGCTCCTCTGTGACATGATGGAGCAAAACTGTAGTTGCAGCTTGTCTGCAGCAGTTATGGCAGAATTTCCTCAGCTCTGCAACAATGGACTGCCCTCCTAATAATGACAGCCCAGTGGCTCTGGACCTTTTCTCTTCATGCCATGTGCTAGAGATCTAGGGACTTGTCCTGTGCACCACCAGTGTCTCCATGGCGTGGCTTGTGTACATTGGTGAAGTACAACATTAAATGGTACCTGGAGGAACCTTGCACTTCCACCTTTGTATATGTGTTATAATATGTGTTTGAAAAGGAATCACCAAATATATCAAACCCATAATTTTACATATGCTTATAATGAGGCTAATTTCAGGGCTATACTGATATGAAAGAATAAGAATGATATGTGAATGACAAGTTTGGGGATGTTGTATGGGGTAATTGTTGCCACACTCCCTTGCTTGAACTATGGTTCCAGATCTTTGTAACTGAGTGACCTCTACCTATTCCTCTAGTATGGCCCCATGCCACATGCAGGCTATAGGTGTGTTAAGTCATTAACAGCAGCACCTGGCAAGCATTAGGCACTCAGTAGGTGTTACATACTAATGTTATTAGGAAACCTTGCATCATATTTCCAACACCACCCTGTGATAGGTATTATTACTACTACTTCATGGACAAGCAAAGAAAGGTTAAGTCACATGCTCAGCTGGTAGAAGAGCCATGTTCTGAACCTGGGTGTGCTTGGCTGAGGCATTAATTTAAGTGGCCACTCTCAGCAGGCCCTGTCTTTCTGAGACTCAAGCATCCCATGTATGGCAGGTGGTAAGAGAATCTGCCTGCTTTGTGCAAAACTGGGGACTGCTATCTTTGCTCCAATCACAACAAAAGATTTTGCTTTAAAAAATAAAGGAAGGAAAAAGAAAAGAGAAAGAATGGACTAGATGTGACCTAGGTATCTACAGGCACTACCCCTCCTAGATCCTTTTGCCTGGCTTTGGGCTCTCATTGGTGTCCTTCTATAACATCCAGTACTTGATGGACTCCAAACTTGCCTCAGTGGTAGCCCATCATTTATTTACTCACTTATCTGCTGATATTTGCATTGTTTCCATTCTGGAGTTGTTATAAACAATGCTGCTAGAACATCGTGCAAGTATTTGTGGGACATATGTTTTCATTTGTCTTAGTAAGTACCTAGGAATGGAGTTGCTCCATCATATGGTAAGAGTATGGCAATTGTGTAAGAACTTTAAAGTGCTTTCCAGAGTGATGGTACTGCTTAAAACTCCACCAGCAATGTGTGAAGTTCCCATTGTCTTATACTCGCATCAATATTTGAAGTTGTTCATTTTCATTTTAGTTTTTCTAGTGGGTACATAGAGGCATTTCACTGTGGTTTAATTTGCATATCCCTGATGACTCATGATATTTATGCCTTTTGGCCACTTGTATATCTTCTTTTTCATTCTTACCTTTTGTCAGCTTGTCTTCTCATTAATGAATTATAAGAATAATATATTGTTTGTTTGAGGGGGTTTTTTTTTGAGACAGGGTCTCACTATGCAGTTCAGGCTGGCTTTGAACTCAGTTATCCTCCTGCCTCAGCCTCCCTAGTGCTGTGATTACAGGCGTGCACCACCACACCTGGCTTTAAGAATAATATATTCTAGATAGAGGTTGACAGGTATATATACTGTGAATATTTTCTTCTGGTCTGTGGCTTGTCTTTAGAATTAACATTTTTAAATGGATTAATAAATAAATGTTGATTTGTTGACTCTCAAGCTGCCTCCACCCCCCTTTTTTTTTTTTTTTTGAGGCAGGGTCTCACTAAGTCCCTAAGTTGCCCCAGCTGGGCTCAAACTTGCTATCCTCTGGCCTCAACCTCCCAGAATGCTAAGAGTATAAGCATATGCTACCATGCCCAGCTAGGGACCCCTTTTCTAACCATGAGGTTGTAAGAGATCATCAACTGAAAGTAAAGAGGTGGTCTGGGGTTAGAGCTTAAACTTGTACACTCTGGGGTCAGACAGTCCTGAGTCCGGAGCCCAGCTCCATGGCTCACAAATGGGAAGGTCCTTCCCCTCTGCTCTCTGAGGCTTATTTTTCTGGGATGTGAAATGAGAATAAAAAATCACCTACTCTTTGGGCTATTGTGAAGATGAGATAAAATGATGACTATAAAGCTCACCTCAGGGACCTAGCACTGAGAAGGTCACATACAAGCTGAGCTGCACCTGTTGGCAGGCATGCTGAGGCCAGGCCCCATGAAGCGGGCTTCTGCCTTCCTTCTGTGTATAGAAAGCACCAGCCTCCTCCCAGTTATATGAGCCAAAATTCTGGGTTCCTCCTTCCCCTTCTCTGTCCAACTTCCTGCTCCCAAAAGGCTCCTGAATCAGCCCCTGCCTCTCTCTACCCAGGCTCCCACCCAGTCAGGAATCTTACTTGTTCCCAGTGCTCTTATTACAAGTGCTCTTCCCAGCTTCTTTTACCAGCGTGGTGTCCCTGCCTGTGCCTCTCCCATCTCCCTCCCCAAGAACCACTGCTACAATTGCCAAAGGCTT